TTAACTATCGCATTAAAAAGTTTTTCATTTTGTTGTCGATTTTTTGTTGTTGTTGTTATTATCCTTGTTAGTTTGCCATTTATCGCTCATTGACTTTTGGCAAATTTTGTAGCAGAGCAGAGGTAGGAATGGCTACAAATTATTTACGCGTGCCACACACCGTATCGTATGATTAATGTTTTTTTGCACAGATTTTTGTGTGTGTGTGAGTGTTCATAATAATTATGCGCCTCGATGCCATGGTAATTAATAACACTTATACGCCGTTAAGCGCTGTAAGGTGGACAAATTAATTATTGACTTGTATAGAAAAAAATTAATACCTGTTGTTGTTTTTTATAAATAAAAACACTTTTAGACCATATTGTTTTCCCAGGAGCTTAACTAAAATCCTAAATAGATCAACATTTATTTGCCTCTAGAGAATATTCGTCCTTTAGCCGAAGAGGTCATATTTTTTAAAGAATATTTTTTCAAGCACTATCTAAGGCGTGGATTTCTTAATGAATATTTTTTCAAGGACTACCTAAGGGTGGATTTCTTAAAGAATATTTTTTCAAGGACTATCTAAGGGTTGGATTTCTTAAAGAATATTTTTTCAAGCACTATCTGAGGCGTGGATTTCTTAAAGAATATTTTTCAAGGAATATCTAAGTGGTGGATTTCTTAAAGAATAGTTTTTCAAGGACTATTTAAGGGGTGGATTTCTTGGAGGATATTTTTTTCTAATATCAGATATTGGAACTTTAGAAGTTCCACTATCGGACGGGGCCGACCATTCGATGAACAATTATATATTCCTTTTTGGAGAATATTTCTGCAATAGCCGTTGAGAGCTACATTTTTGAAAAATTTATTTTTTATTCCTTTAGCCTTATGGTTAATGCTTCCTAATTTTGGTTTTAGACCCCATGTGTCATTCAACCCATTTCAGACAATTTGCAGTCGATAACTCTCGAAGGGAGTAACCGATGTCATCCAAACTAATATTTCGTAATATTTCTTCCAAAAAATTTAAAAACTTCCGAAATTTGGATGGGCCTTGAAAAATGTTATTTAAAAAATCTACGCCTTGGATGGGCCTTGAAAAATGTTATTTAAAAAATCTACGCCTTGGATGGGCCTTGAAAAATGTTATTTAAAAAATCTACGCCTTGGATGGGCCTTGAAAAATGTTATTTAAAAAATCTACGCCTTGGATGGGCCTTGAAAAATGTTATTTAAAAAATCTACGCCTTGGATGGGCCTTGAAAAATGTTATTTAAAAAATCTACGCCTTGGATGGGCCTTGAAAAATGTTATTTAAAAAATCTACGCCTTGGATGGGCCTTGAAAAATGTTATTTAAAAAATCTACGCCTTGGATGGGCCTTGAAAAATGTTATTTAAAAAATCTACGCCTTGGATGGGCCTTGAAAAATGTTATTTAAAAAATCTACGCCTTGGATGGGCCTTGAAAAATGTTATTTAAAAAATCTACGCCTTGGATGGGCCTTGAAAAATGTTATTTAAAAAATCTACGCCTTGGATGGGCCTAGAAAAAATGTTCTTTAAAAAATCTAAGGCTTGGATGGGCCTTGAAAATAATTAGAAATTAAGCTCTACTACCATTCAATGGATCCCGATGTCGTATAATTAATATTTACACATACACCGATGTGGCGTATAATTTCTTCTAAGCACGACATAAATTATACGCCACCTGAAAATACACCGATTCTTGTTATATTATTTAAAAATCAATTTTAAATAAAATTCAATTGTTTCCAATATCCTTGTCTGTTGTTACCCATAGCTGATGTATTCACGTAGAGTAGAGTACAGTAAATAAATAATTTCCACACATCATCCTACTCTCGTGTAATCATTTTAATGGCATCTGCATTAACAAATTCAATCATATGGAGATGATGATTATTATGACGATGGCGATAAGTGGGATGATGAGAAGAGCCGAACAAGTGGATGGTTAGACACTGAGATACACACAACAATGTATTTACAACAGGCATTCCACCCAAACCATCAGCATCATTTTCCTCACCAACGACGACCGACCTACTTATACATAATTGACTAAGAACAATAAAAAGCGCTTCATTCCACCTCCCCTCCTCCTGCTTTATTATCCTACCAAAGCACTTCAAAATCTTATGATATGGCCTAAAGGAGCTTCTCATGCTCTTCGTGTTTATGAAAACAACAAGAAAACAACAACTACACAATAAATTAAATATTTTCTTTTCTTTTTTGGGCCGGAATTGAGTGACGTTGTCTTATAGTATGTCCAAAGCAGACAAGTCAGTCCGTTCGGCCAACCGACCGATCGACCGTCATTCTGGCCAAGTTAAAGATGAGTGGGTGTATTGGAAAAATTACATTTTGGCTGTTGTTTGCTTGCCAGTGATTCAGCAGAGAGTGGAAAAGGATAGTGGCAAGACACCCTGCGGCCATTCAAACAATGGGATGAAAAGAACGAAAAGAAACTACTACGACGTAGTAAGAATCTCATTAACTTTAGGCTCTATTGCCTTGCTGAAAATGAAATACAGCAAAGCAGTATTATTGATGAAAACCATTGCCATTTTTACAAGACGATTGTATTTTTCCTTTCTTCCTCTTCTTTCTTGAGTATGAAATTATTATAAACAAATTATCCATAACACTTTTTACAAAGAAATTTAAATACAATACAATTGTATTTCACGGATTATTTGTATAACAAAGAAGAATTCTTGCAAATTTTATTTGAAAATTCAAATGAGTTGTTGATAATAAATAATAATAATAGCAGAGTGTGTTAAGTTACATGAATCATTCGTTCTTTTAATTTCTGTAATGATTTGTAAACAAAAGTACAGTGAACAAAGAATACCTAAAGTGTGATGGGTGGCGTATAAGTTTTATTAATAGAAAGTGTTTGCGGTGGCGTATGATTGTTGTATTCAGTTCAGAAAAAATAAATCATATGTAAAAATTGCTTTAAATGATTAAAGTAAGAGTTTGTTTTTTTGGGAGAAAAAATTCTTTAAAGAATCTACGCCTTGGATGAGACTTGAAAAAATATTCTTTAAAGAATCTACGCCTTGGATGAGCCTTGAAAAAATATTCTTTAAAGAATCTACCCCTTGGATGAGCCTTGAAAAAATATTCATTAAAAAATCTACGCCTTAGATGATCCTTGAAAAAATATTCCTTAAAAAATCTACGCCTTGGATGAGCCTTGAAAAAATATTCCTTAAAAAATCTCCGCCTTGGATATGCCTTGAAAAAATATTCTTTAATTTCATTCCGATGATAGTTGCACCCTCTTGCCCGATTAGAGGTCAACAACACCTCCTCCTTACACTGAAATATTTTCCGAATATTACCAATAGTCAGTATATCCCTTCTGATTACTTGTCCATTCTCCCTTCACCGTGGGTTGTGTTGTGATATTAGGCTTATAATTGTATCCTATAGATCGAATTGAAAACAAAACACAAAAATAAGTTTTCGGTCCACTTCATCCTAAAATTATTATCTGATCATTACCGAAATTTATAGGCGTTGTCCTTGACCATAACTGGAACCTCATGCACAATTATCAACTTCTCGGGCCTATGTCATTCAGGAGTAAATATATACGACATAGAATACAAAATTTGTCATTTTTCACACAAATGTCAGGGTCCATTTGACCCGCTAAATATTGACCGATCTTTATCAAAGCAGGCATGCTTATTCTTTGGCCCGATTCCCTTCTCCATGCTAAAATGTTAGGGTCATAATTGCGGCCTCTGGAACGACCAGAAAATCAGACAAAAATAAAGTTTTTGGTCCATTTAATCCCCTAAATATTAACCAATCTTTACCAAAAACCCATCCTACATGCAAAATTTCGTGATGATTGGTCCATAATTGTGGCCTGTATAGATCGACTCAGCTAGTCGAGATATGACGATCGGTATACTTAAAGGTGGGTCTAAGATCAATATTTCGCGGCGTTACAGACTATTGTGGCTGCAGAAAGCTATAATACCCTGACAACATAGTTGTGTAGGATAAAAAAATGTTTTTTTATTTTATTTCGATTTGAAAAAATGTTTAATTAATAAATAAATATTATTTTCTAGGTAAATTTTCTAATAGGTATTCCGTTAATAGGTATTCTATAGAGAAAAGATCTTATCTAGAAATAAAAATATTGTGTTTATATCTTTAAAATATTGATTAAGTATTTGATACGTTTTTCAGTTCATTATTGAAAAACTAAACCTTAAATTCTCCTCTTCAAAAATGTCAAGACCATTCATGGCATTTCTTTAAATAAAAAAATAATCTTCAATGATTACAAAAAGAGAGAAAAAACAATGTAACAATTTTCCCTGTTGCAATTGAAATGTTGACACTGTTGGTGGTTTGCTCCCCCCTCCTTATTGTTTTCAAAACAAATAACAAAGAAGAAGACAAAGAAAAATAAAATTCCCAGCCATCATCAACGACAAGTCGAACCAAGTGGAAGAAATGAAAAAAATGGAACTACTTCTAATTTCACTTGACATCAAAAACAGGCAGACTGTAAGAAACCAAAGGATAATTCTTTGAATACCAAGCAGAGAAGAAGGAAAGAAAAAAATGTAAAACACAGCAACAACAACAAAGTCATTATCAATGTCTTAGACTTTTAGTGAAAAAATGGGAGGGGAGGGGGTAGACAACAAAAATCACTTGTTTCTTCGAAAAATAAGCATCACAGATTTCCACAATCATGGACCCATTTATTTACTCTTTAATAAACTAGAAAATAATTTAAGTTAACATAAAGAGAAGTTTGCACAACATAAAAGAGAAAACAAAAAAACGGAGAGTGGGAGAGAGGGAATTCAGTTTCCCTCCCAACTCTCCGAAATACCGTTTAAGAAGAGTTTTGTTTTTTATGTGTATTCCATTGAATGTGTTCTCTCTTGCCTCTCTCGCTCTCTCTCTCTCCTCGATTCATCACATTAATAACTTACTCACCCAATAACAAAAGTTTAATATCCTTTGCTGCCTGTATCCCATCCTCTTTCAGATTGCGTTCAATCAAACGACTTCTGGCGGCTGCTGCCCTTTCCTCAGCACTCTGTGCGCAGCCCATGGTGCGGATTGCTTCGACACAAAACGTTTTGAAGGTCGTTTAATATCGGCCACAAATGGGCCGAATACTGTAGCAGGCAAAAGAAAACAATTGAGTTGAAGTAAAGAACAACAACAACTACTACTGCGACGACAACGACAACGGCGGCGACAACGACAACAACACTGACGATGAAAAGGATTCCAACGTTCGATTTTTGTTTTTCTTTTCGTTTTTTTGGTTGGGAATGAAGTAACGACGCACGCAACGTTGGCAATGGCTTGTTATCAACAAAAGTGATGATTAGGCCAAGTTGGAATTGTGGACGGCGTTTGGTGGTGGCAAGGGTTGAGGGGGTGGTGGTGGTGTTCTTTCTCAGTTAGAATTTCGTTTTGTTAAAGGCGCAATCAAAAAATCATTCACATTACATTTAAATTTCAACGTCGAGTTAGAGTTGGGAAATTGCTTTTCTTTTAATGGCTTCTTAATTTTTTGAAAACTTTTTTTAAATATGTTTTTTTCACAATTATTATTTGATGACTTTTTTGTTTTGACTTTGTTATGGAATTTGGTGTTTATTAACCAGCGGAGCATATATTATATGTGTGCCCTTTTCTTTGTTAATACTTTCGGTATATTTTTTAATATCTTATAATTATTTATTGTGGTGTTTTATTATTTATTTGTTAATCCATGTTTTTTTTCAACATAAATCACCTTAAATCTAAATTTTTTAATAGAAATAAAAATTAATTTTGTTGAACATTTTGGTATCTTCTTGAAATTGGACAATTATGTGGCATAGTGGTATCTAATTTTCACATGACTTATGTCAACTTATAAGCGCCAAGTCGAACGTGGAGTATTTTGTACACCATTTAGGTACATAAATTCGAACGATAATATGTATGGGTCTTATATTAAAATTTTGGCCGAGTTTAATACATTTCTACAAGACGGTAACACACATAAATGTTCGGACGATTCTAAATCTAAATTAGAATCAGAAATTCGTATCAATCGGAGAATCATTGTGCATTTGATGGCCATTTATATCAAATCGGACGAAATTATATATGAGAACACTCGATTTATGTTGGAAGAGTCGGTTGGCGATTGAACAAGCCTCAAGAATGGAGTTTGTTAATATGTGGGGTCCTTCTAAAACCTCGAAATTCAAACAATCAGACAAACGGATTGGTAATACCTAAAATCGTACATTTTCTCAATATATATGCAGTTCCAAACATCCTGGGAGCAATATTGATGAAACAAATGCAATACTGAATTTTAATGAATGAAAAAGTGTCCGACGGTTTTGCCTACAGATATATACCCTCAGCCTATTGTTTGCAAAGGTCTTCGGAACTACACACAGGTTTTATAATTCGTTTTATATAATGTAGGTATATGTCTTTATCAAAGAGTTTCAAATTTAATGTTGATCAATCCAATTCAATTTTATTTCATAAACGAGAACCTAGCCCAAAGGGCCAAGAGCGATTCCAAAAACTTCATTACATGGACTACTCCAAAAGCTTAAAATTAACAGTATATCACTTAATCATATCATAAACAACAATACATGAACTAACTGTAATTCAATTTGCCTCAAATTAAATTTACAAGGAGGTACAAGGAGGAGCTTGGCTTGGTTGTGCAAAGCTTTGTTGAAAATTTTGATCATTTGTGGATGAGGTGCAGAAGGAGTCGACCAATGGGTGCCATCTTCGGACTTCATCTAGATTTCGTAAAGATGATAAGTTGTGCAAGTTTTGGTTCAAATCGAACATTTTATTCGCCAAAATATTGAAAATTTGGACCCTTTGTGAGGGAGGTAACAGAAGTAGCGGACCAATGGGTCCCATATTTGGACCAGATCTAGATTTGTTGGAAATAATAGATTGTGTAAAGTTTGGTTCAAATCAGATAGTCTGTTCGTATGGTATTATAAAATTAAATTTTAGCAAATTTTTTACCATTTTTTGCCATTGAAATAACGGATCCCATCTTGGAACTTGATCTTGACTTGGTAAGGATAATAGGTTGTGCAAAGTTTGGTTGAAATCGATCGAGCGTGATATTGGATTTATAAATATTGAAAATGTTGACAATTTTTGCTGGATATACCAGAAGGAGTGGACTAATAGATACCCTCTTCGGGCTTGACCTGGGCTTGGTAACGATAATGGGTTGTGCAAAGTTTGGTTCAAGTCGCTGAGTCCGTTCGCATGATATAAAAATACATTTTCATTAAAATTTTGCCTTTTTTTAAGTAGACTCCAAATTGTTAGAAACGAAGTTTGCCCAAAGAAACATTCTGTTTAAAACCAATATTTCGATGAGCTACATTTTTGCAGTATCAAACTGTAAATAATACTCAACTTTTTCTTATTTCGTTTTTATAAATTTTATTTTTTTTTAATTTTAGAATTCTTTTTTATGTAGGATGGGTTCGGTCCAATGAAGACCCCTATTGTTTTTGGTAAAGATCGGTTAATATTTAAGGGATGAAATGGACCAAAAACTTTATTTTTGTCTGATATTCTGGTCGCTCTAGAGGTCACAACTATGACCCAAACTTCGCGAATTTTGACATGGAAAAGGATATTGGGCCAAGAAATAAGCATGCCTGTTTTGATAAAGATCGGTTAATATTTAACGGGTCAAATGGTCCCTGACTTTTGTGTGAAAAAATACAAAATTTGTATTCTATGGCGTATATATTTACTCCTGAAGGTCATAGAGCCGATAAATTGAAAGTATATCTAAGAGGAGTAGTTGGCCTTTAAATCGATACCAATTATATTGCCTCGGATGATGTGTATGTACTCGGATGTGGGAGTTACACGAAAATATTTACAGGTGCTTACGTATTCAGATATTATTTTGCAAACCATTACCACACTAGAGGGAGGAAACATAGCCCTGATCGCTTTGAAATTTTCCGTGAGATTCCAGTTGTGGCCAAGGACAACTCCTATAATTTTCGATGATGATCAGATAATAATTTTGAGATAAAGTGGACCGAAAACTTAATTTTTGTGTTTTTTTCCAAGTCGATCTACAATTATAAGTCGGACATCACAACACAACTTACGGTGAAGGGAATCTGGACAAGTAATTACAAGGGCTGTACTGAATATTAGTAATACTCGGAAAATATATCAGTGTAAGGAAGAAGTGATGTTGACCTCTAATCGGGCAAGAGGGTGCCAATATCACGAAATATTGCCCAGGCTCGGAATAAACATACGCAGAAAGTTAGATTTCTGTGGTAGTAGTGTAGGGTATCGTGTGGTCGGCTCCGTCCGACTATACTGCTCCGCTAATATTTCTAGGTTCAAAACCTTGTGCGAACCTGAGAGTACGAATTGGTGCATTCAAAATCAAATAATGTCACAGAGGAGAATATTTTCCTACCAAATCAATTTATATTATCCTTAGAAGACTTTTGAAATTAAAATTTATTAAGAAAAATATTAAAATAAAAATGACAAATAGTTTTCTATAAACAAAGTTTGGAAATATATGTTCCAATATAGTATATCATCTTCTATTATTCCCCCTTAAGACAAAAATGTCAATTATGTTTTTCTGTGTCTGATTTTTTTATAGTCCACAAATACAAAATATTAAAAACATTACCATAATGACTCTGATATCAACAAATGATAAGTCCAGTTAAGTTCGGATAAAAATTAAGAAATTCGTCCTAACATTGTAATTATTCTCTCTATTTAAATGAACCCAATCAGATTTCAATTATTTATCACAAAAATGTCTCTGTAATTGTTATTTTGTTACAAAACTACAAAATTATTTGTTTAACATAGTTTTAGATTTGTTTTTTTTTATCTTGTTGTTGTTCTTGTTTACGTCTATCACACACAAGGTGTCACAACAATCGTTTTTCAATCATCAAAAAAGAGAACGGAAAAGTCCTTAACTGATGAAGGCCATTCCATATTACGGAAAAAACAAATGAGAAGTGAGATAATTAATTTTATCCAGGGAGAATTTGAATTTGAAGAGAATAGCGGAGAGATAAGTTCCCAAAGAGTAACAGGAAAAAAATTATAACCACATATTTTGCCACATAAATGTCCGTTAGGAGAAGATAATGATGATGAGGATTATGAGTTGAGCAACCCCAACGACACTCTCTTTCTCTTTCTAATAAAGCAAAAGGTGTTTATATTAAAATAAATGAGAAGAGAATTTTATTTTGTTTTTTTTTTTTCACAGAAAATATTGTTTTTTTTCGTTTCGTTACTAATTTGTTTATTTCATTGAAAGTGTATTTATTTTTTGGATTTTAGTTGTTGTTTTGTTTATTTGTTGTTGTTATTTTTCAATATTCTTTTGTTTCGACAATGTTGTTGATTTTGTGTGCTATTGCTATTGCTGTTGTTGTTTTTTTTTTGTTTTTCATTTAAGATGCTGGATTTATTTTTTCGCTTCACATTTGTTTTGGGGGAATTTTCTATTCAATATTTTTTTTTTTTTTTGATGTGTGCGTTTCTTTATTGTTTTGGAGAAGGGGGCACTTTTGTGGTGGGGTATCCAGGGGGAGAGGTTGAGGTATATGCGTGGTGAAGATGATAATAATGACGATGTGTTGTTGTTGTTTTTGCTGTTTTTTCCCCCGTCTAGTTATTAAACACCAGGCCAAAAGGGGATACAGCACAAGAGTATTCAGCACAACTACACGGTAATTGTATTCACACATGAAAACACAACACCAACAACATCCAGAACATAGAGAAGAAAATTCCAAAAAAGACTATAACATGAATCATGCACTGCTTTGCTTGCTGGCGTTCGGGTATTTTTTTTATTGGGTTAACAATTTTTTTTTCTGTTTCCGACGTACTCTGCGCTCAATGGATGTGTACACAAAAATTATTTTATTACACATTTTTTACGGCAAGGAGGGGATTTTTTCACACAATTTTCGAATTTATTATTTTTCACAATTTTTTCTTTTTTACCAATTAAATTTTCATTTAAAGATAATACCACAATTTTTTTATTTTATTAATTATTTGTTATTAATTTTTTTCCAAGTGGGTACCGCACCCTATGC